CGGTCGAATCATTAGGAAAACTATACCTGAATTCGAAGATAACTTTCTTCGGAATGAAGGGCTTGAAAAACAGTAGCCAGATGGAAATCAACCATATCGCTGCTAGCTTGAGTAAACACATCTACCAAAGGAGTGGAATCGTCGGAGGTCAACCATCCCAGAAGACCCCATTTAGCCGCATTTGAAGCACTATACTTTCCTTCACTTTTCGCTGTACCTGTCCCCAGAGATATAACCAGAAACCGACTGTAATCGTTTGCCTTTATCGAAAAGAAATCCCGGTTTCCTTTCGTAATTTCTTTCGTCACTTCACTTATGGCAACCAAAGTCTGGAAAAATTATACATATACATACTTTTGTTAGATATATACTCATATACATATATATATATATGTGGGTAATATATTAAATAATGTTTGCTGAAAATTGAGTTATGTGTACCGGATTATTAGCAGCAACACCGCCGTCAACAAGGTTAAATTCTCTCAGTTTTCCGTTGATGCAATCTTTGGTTTCAAAATGGTGGGCCGGAAGGTAAGTCGGAGCGGCGGAGGTTGAAATGCAAATATCGGAGAGCAAAGCATTCAAGCAAGGGTCTTTCTTCACCTACAAGACATTAATGTTGAATTAATAACATCACCTATATTTGTAGCAAAATCAGACCCCACGTACCAAATTGGAAGGTACTATCTATTATTTATTTTATTTATCTGTTATCCAACCTTGTAGCTGGAGAAGATTGTAGGCTGGAGGTTTTTGATATCGAAGGTCGGAATCACAACATTTGTCAAAGTCTGGCTCAGTGTTTTTTCTCCTAATTTTTCCCTGACAACTTCATGCAGGTATTTTCCATCGTATTTTGGTCCTGATAAAGATCTCACTAGATTTGCAGCAGGAGCAAACAGAGCACTACTGTTGCGTAAAAGAAACAAAATATATTCATGTGAGTTACTAAGAAAAAACAAGAGAAACAAAGATGCAATAAAATTAAGCTGTGTGGTCCTCAAGATTATTACCTGTCTTGAGGGAAGATTTTAGGGCAGTGTTCAAGGTAAAAGTCCTTTATGTCTTTAGCAGCAAACAGAGGGCGGTTCTTTTCATCTGGTGTGCTTAACATGGCAGTCACCAGGCCACCGGTGCTAGTTCCGGCAATGACATCGAAATAGTCTGAGAGTCTTGCTTCCTCACCATCCAGTTTCTGCTCAAAGTAAATTCACAAAAAAAACATATAATTAAGTAAACATTATATACATTTCTTATAATATATATAGGTTGTGCAAATATATACACTACAAAAATTTGTACCTGAAGTTGAGCCTCTAAAAAGGCTAGTATAGTTCCAGGAATAATCCCTCTGATTCCACCTCCATCGATGCTAAGAATGGTGATTTGGTTTCCATAAGTAGGCGGCTGCAGGGGGGATTTTGGGCTATCCAGAAAAAGATTTGTTGGGTAATTCATTTCTAGTTTTGAAGGTTAGTTGAGTTTTAGGGGAGGTTTAGACAGAAGTCACGTGTAAAGGATGCTTGAGAGGCTGGTGATATATGAGGAAGTGGAATCCAAGCAACTGGTATATATAGCCATCTTTGAGGTTGTAGTAAGGCTTGAATTTTCAATAAAGGTCAGACTACCTTTGCAGTTCAAAGCCGACCGAGTCCAACTTAATTTCCTGGAAAGACCGTAAGACTGGTGCAACTTGAAGGAAAGGAACTCAATCCTCAGATGAGTGATTGATTGTAATTTGAAAAGTCAGACTGGGTGTGGCTAGCTACTAGTTAAAGCCTATTGTGCGGATAAATATCCTAAACATAACCATTAATATTGAGTTCCGTTCTTAGTTTACTAGCCATGCCCTGAGAGGAGCAATGTTTAGGTGGTTAATGTTCTGGGTTCAAACTCAAGCACTCACTCCTTTACTTTATTACTTTAAGTTTTTCGGTTTAAAAAAAGAAAAGAGTTTTATTCTTTATTTTTTTTATAGTAAAAAATGAATTTATTGCTTTCCATAACATACATGTCAATTGTCTAATGGAAACTCTCAATAAAACAAGTCATAGCAATTGTTTACTTTCTCGTATCAAAATTGAGTTCCGTTCTTAAAAGTGTAAAAGTTTATCGATTGTATTTTTTATATATTAATTTAAATTTAAAAAATTTGATATTAATTTTAGTATATATAAAATTTTAATTAA